AGGTTAAAATGGAAATAACATCTGAGTGGAAGACTCCTAGTTTGGTCTTTACATTTGTATTTTCAATGACTAATTTTGTTGAAGTTGGTAAACGCAGCTGTTGCCTTGCCAGTTGGTGACATTTCCTTTTGGACTTCCCCACTGGTTGGTGTGTTTCTGCCAAGACATGTAAATTGACTCATTCCTTGTATTCCTTTGCCTTTTTATATAATGCTTCGCTTGGGATTTGCTGAAGGTCTCCAGAGATTTGTTCTCCTAAGTTATTATTAGTGCTGCAATGCTAGGCAGTCGTTACTTACATGTTTTCTGAATTCTCACTTCAGCATCCCATGCTCAGGATGCTCAATCTAACTGATGTAACACTTCACTAGCTGTACTTTTTCTTATGGTGGTGTGGTCATGTCAACATCAAATCAACAGCAGTCATAAAGAGAGGACAGAATGCACACTGGTTTTGCACCAACGTATGAACCTCCACTTGGTTTTCCACTCGGCTCTCCATTTACTTCAGTAGTTCAAGCTTGTCAACACTTTACAATTATCCTAACTATGTATTTGAAAATAGTAGAATAATGGTCTGAAAAAGATAATAAAAATACCCTTACCCTCCCAAAGAACCCCAAAGAAACAACTGCATGAGACTGGCAGGGAATCTGCCTCAAGCCATGGAACAGGAGAAGCTATCAAAAAATCTGGTCATTCCTTTATCTCCTACATTGAAATGGCTGAGCTGAAGCTGAAAGACAAAGAATTAGAATCTGTGTTTTGTTCTGGAGTTTGGGTTGGTTTTATTTATTTATTTTCTTCATTTTTCATGACTGTACCACTGAAAGAAACAATTGCTCTTCAACTGTTGCAACCACTTATATCACCTTTCTAGGATACTTTAATTGGAATGCAATTTATCCAGCAGTCAGATTATTACATTTTTCCTATTCCCATATTTCTTGAAGAACTTGGCAACTATTCACTCAATCATTTTTCGGCAAGGTCCCTACCTGAAGCTTCTCCAAATTTTGGTTTTAGTGAGCTTTCTACATCTGCCTTTGTGCTATGAGACAGCATCTGTACTTTGGCAAAGTCATAGAATCATAGAATAGTTAGCGTTGGAAAGGACCTTAAGATCATTTAGTTCCAACCCCCCTGCCATGGGCAGGGACACCTCACACTAAACCATCTCACCCAAGGCTTCATCCAACCTGGCCTTGAAGACCGCCAGGGATGGAGCATCCACAACCTCCCTGGGCAACCCATTCCAGTGCCTCACCACCCTTACAGTAAAGAATTTCTTCCTTATATCCAAACTAAACTTCCCCTAAGTTTGAATCCGTTACCCCTTTCCTGTCACTACAGTCCCTAATGAAGAGTCCCTCCCCAGCATCCTTATTGGCCCCCTTCAGATACTGGAAGGCTGCTATGAGGTCTCTATGCAGCCTTCTCTTCTCCAGGCTGAACAGCCCCAACTTTCTCAGCCTGTCTACATATAGGAGGTGCTCCAGCCCCCTGATCATCCTCGTGGCCCTCCTCTGGACTTGTTCCAACAGTTCCATGTCCTTTTGATGTTCCCAACAATTGGAAAAAGGGAAATATAACCCCATTTTCAAGAAGGGGAAAATGGATGACCCGGGGAATTACAGACCAGTCAGTCTCACCTCTGTGCCTGGCAAAATCTTGGAGCAGGTTCTCCTGGAAGGCATGCTAAGGCGCATGAAAAACAACAAGGTGCTTGGTGACAGCCAGCATGGCTTCACTAAGGGGAAATCCTGCCTGACCAATTGGGTGGCCTTCTGTGATGGGGCTACAGAACTGATGGACAGGGGTAGAGCAGTTGATGTCATCTACCTGGACTTGTGCAAAGCGTTCGACACTGTCCCACATGACATCCTTGTCTCTAAATTGGAGAGACATCAATTTGATAGGTGGACCACTCAGTGGATAAAGAACTGACTGGATGGCCACACACAAAGAGTTGTGGTCAATGGTGCTCCTCCTGTCATCGTCCTTCTTTTCCTCTCACCAAGTAGTTTTCACAGGTTCATCTTGGACAGGCACACTGGTGGTGGCAGATGCAGACAACAGTGGAGGGGACACCTTTTTTTGAGAACTAGATCAGCTATCTGCTATACTTCTCTTGGGCCCCTCTACTCTTGTTCTAACACAGACTTTCCTGCTGCTTTTGCTGGATGCATCTAAATGTCCGATGTTGGCGTTGATATTTGCACCCTTGGAAAGCCCATTATTTGGGCTTGTTAAGCTGAAAAGCAGTTACATTTTTCAGCAAATTACACCTTGTTCATTTGGTAGTAAACACAAAAGAAACACCTCTTTTACTAGTTCTCCTACAGTTTTCTTTCTTCATCCTGTTTCAAAAAATATTACACATCTACTGCACATGGAGATCTGCTGAAGATGTTAACTGTGTTTACCTCCAATACACCCAGATCACAACAATTCCACCAGCTGCTCTGGAGACACCTTTACACCATGCCCATGCACCACCAGAGCTCTGCCAGGCCCTACGCTACTGCTTTGGAGACAGAAGATGACACTTGGCTATTGATTCCTCCATTCTGCCACCGTCCCTAACCCCGAGAAGGAAGTCTCCCTGTTAGTAAGCAGATATCAGGCTGAGGAATTTGGTCCAATTTCCTGATAGCTCATATCTCACCATAGTGGTTGTCTGTTGGTAACACTGTGTAATTGTCATTTCATGTAATATGTTTGAAATCTAGTTCAGAGCAATCGACTGCTAATTTGTTCCCCAGTCTATGAGCTATTTTTCTGCCTTGGAAGTCATAATTAATGCTACTCCCTCTGTGTTATAATCATCTTGCTTTGTGAATATATTATAGCTTTGTTCTCATTCTTAGATTGCTCTTCATCAATTCCTGGTCACAGACATTTTGCTTACTCAAAGGATTTTACTTAATGTATTTGTTTCTCTGTTTCACCTGCATCTCCTCTGTTGTGGCAGCCTTTCCTCCAGTGTTCCAGAAACCTACTTTCAATGCTTGGTGGTTGTTTTTTTTTCCCAAATTTATCCCTGAAGAACTTCTCAGAGGTTTGCCTGGCTCATGGTTTTCAGCAAAGCAGGTTGCATCACTATTTCACCCACCTGGCACGTGTTTTGCTGGAACAGCTACCTCACCATCCTCCTCTAATTCACCTCTTTTCCAAGGACAGATTTTTGCCTGTAGCTGAACCCCAAACACAGTATTACTGCTTTTCATCTCAACCATGTCATTTGGCCAGTTTGGTTTGGGTCATACGACTCTATAACCTTGCCTCAATGAGTTCACCTTGCTCTGGTCATTGGGCTAGACGGTACCCATGCACCGCCAACTGCTAAGGGAACAGAGCAGTTTTCCTGTCATCTACGTTCTACTCAATAAGGATGTCGCAAGATGAAAAGATTGCAGAGTACTCACATTTTACAGGAACAGCAGCCATTTCAATACCTGGCTTAAAAAAGAAACCACATCTTGTATCTCAGAAGCAGCTGTGTTCTGTCTCCAGAGCTGCTGTGAATTGTTCCTACCGTCTTCAGAATGACATTTTGCATTGCCTTCCTCCCTCATCCCCAGCATTAGTATGCTAGTAGTTATCACTACACAAATCTTCTACAGGTTCACATTAGGACTCCCTAAATACAGTGTAACACAGAAACTTAACACCTACCAAAGCTGGGAGAAAAAAATCAGAAAATTTTTTTTTTGGCTACTGATCTAGCTCATATTCTTCTATACTTATGGTGCTATTTGGTTCAGCAGATGGAGAATGAAAAGGAAGGTCCCTTTTGCCAACAATTTATACTACCTCACGTGAGAGACGTTTATCTACATTCACGCCCCATGTGACAAAGTCAGTCGGAACCTGACAGTGGGTAAACTGTAAGGGAAGAGCAGGCTTCGTATGTGGATGGCCAAGCTACAGACCTAAAATATTAACATTCAAAAGTCAGGATTCAAGAGAGAGCCACAAAAGGCCAGCAGTGTTGAAAGTAACAGTAGCTCATCATTGCAGAAAGCCCAGTCCTTCAGGAATACAGGCTCCAGAGAAGAAGGAAATTTAACCTAGAGGATGAGTACCCAGGACTTGTTAGCTCACTTACTAAAAGCAAAATTGCAGGGAGTACCTATCAACCAAACAAGAGATGTAGACCAAACCAGCACATTATGAACTGCTCTCTATGTAAATCTGGAGGATGATCAATGAATTAGGTCAGTGCACTATCTGCACTGTTGGGTGTCATCTTTGGCATCAGCCAAGTTAGCGAATGGAGTGGGAGACGGGGGAGAAGGGAGAAGCAGAAAACTGAGTTCAGGGTTAAAAGAGAATCTTCTGGTTAAAAAATGAGACAAAAATGCTGTTATCTGGGGTACCTGAAAATCAGTGTCAGCCTTTTAAACTTGCAGAATGACAGAAGACACTAACACGGAAGAACATTCAGAAGATTGTAAAACCCAGAGATGGCAATGATACTCACAGATAACCAGCTCTCAAGTAGTGTAAATATAGACCAAGCAAGTTTAACCAAGCTTGCCTTAAAAAAGACAAACCACCCACATGTCATCCCTTCTTGGTAACACACTGTAACATACAACCAACCATGTAAAGGCTAAAGCAAACAAGAAGGACCTGGGTTGTGTTAAAAACCTTCTTCTATAACCCTCAGCAACTTCTTTGTCCCTCAGCTTACACATGCGTAAAAGCTGTGTACGCTCTTAACAGGTGTCTGTAAAATGGGTTTAATTAAAATTTGGTGGTTAAAGTACTGTTCACTGTAAAATTCTGAGGAAAGTTAAGTAATTTTGCCACTTGCAGTTATCTGATACATAATTTCTCCTTAGAAAACACAGCTTTTTTTCCAAAGTACAAAGTACATACAAAGTGCCCTGTGTTTCTGACACTGGAAGACTCTTGAATCCACTTGTTCAAATCCAGACTTTAAAATGCCTTTATAGCAACACTCCTGGACTTTCTGAAACACAGACCATCACACTGCTGAGTTACCCTCTGCCAAGAAAGAGCAATCAGCAAGTGGATACAGGACGCAGCCGGTACCTATCTGTGCTAACTCCCCACCAAGTCTCAAGGAGAGCACTTCCAATGTACTTTTTGCCTAGGGAAGAGCAGGTTCTGAGTGAATGCAAGGTGTCACAACAATCTGTGGCTATTAGGTCTACAACAATAAAAAGAGGAAGTTGAAGGAAGACTTAAATGACTATTTCAAATTTGCAAGAGAACAGTTAGCTTCTGTTGCCCCAGGCAATTACAGTACTTTTGTTTTGATTATGAATTTTAATTTTGTGATACCTAACTTTCTTGGCCTTATAATGGCTAGACAGCAAATCTGTGCATGACTGTGCTGCAGTTTCACTTCCACCTCTTGACAATTGGCCCTCTTTGACAGAGCACATTTTAATACTATCTGTACTTCCAGATAAGCCAGGCTGCCGCTGCAGTGCTCCATCAAGATCAGGTCTGTTGTCAGCTTTTGATTTTACTGCTTGTGGAAAAAGCAGACATGTAAAGGCAAGAACTGAAGCATCACCCCAAACAGGAATGGGGCCCAATCCCTGCCCGCAAAAGTGGGCAACTGAGATGCTTGGGAAGCCTGGAAAGGACACAGGGCCACCTCCTCCTTAGTTTAACTCCCCCAGTTCTGCAACTCCATTTTAGCACCTGTTGAGCAGACACAACAAGAAATACTTGGGGAATGAATGCCAAGGGAAGACTTCCTTGCAGAGTATTTTTGTGTCAGTCTTCATTAGCAGGTGAGTGGCAGCCATACATACTGACACGGGTGAGCACATGGGGGTTCCATGGAAAACAGAGCACCAACATTCACTCCTAGGAGGCTCAGTCTCACCTACGTGGCATCCACATTCACACTGCAATCACAACTGCACCAGCTACAGTCTTGTTAGAGCCTTTCCTCACAGGATGCTGGTTAGAGATTCTAAATCCCTATCCTATCTCCCATTATCCAAAGTCTTCCGACTGCAGACTCAAACTCCTTTATAGTAACGGAGAGCTTTAACACTAATATCACCTGCCAAGGAGGTACTTTTTATTGCATGTTTTAAAATATATCAGTCTGATATATTACCCTGTTTATTTATTCCTTACCAACTTCATAAAACCACCAGCACTGAAGACCACCAGTGACACAGGAGCTTTTGATGTTTGTAGCTTGCTTACAGGACCCAAACCTAAGAGACAGCATCACTGCATCAAGAAATGTCACATCAAGGTTTCCAGTAGTGTCAACATTTCCCATTTCATTAAATGGAAAAGGGAGCAGAGAAAGGAGGAAACCGTATTTCTGCTCCACTTACTTGACGAATGCAAGAAACTGCGTATAGAAGAGCTCATCTGACACAACCTCTCTGAATCTTGCTGAAACACACAAACAAAGCAAGATCAACCCAGGCAACTAGAATTTGCTTTCACGGTTTAGGCAAACAGTTTAAAAACCAAAAGTTTCTGGATCTCTTGGCTGAATGCTTCCAAATAATAACTACCCACATGCAAGTATACTCGCCAGTAAATAGCAGGTTTCAGGATTCAGCTCCTATCTACTTCAGCCTTTCAACAGATTAACTCCATATGACAACTTAGCTACAAGTCTCAGCCTGGAAGCACTTCCCTCCCCCCCGCCACCTAAATCACAGTCAGAAATGCTCCGAAGGAGATTAGTGAGACGGTTTTGCAAAGCACAAAGCACTGACCTAAATGTGTTTCTGTTTAAGTAGGTGAAGGTTCTAAATTTGACTGAAATAGCAATGTTTGGTCCAGCATTTTTTGTTTTTCAAGATCTGCGTAAGCTTTTGAAGCCTCTCATTTCATATAAAGCAGGTTTCACCATCACTAGACATGTTTTCTGCTCTTAGCCTATTTTGTTGTAAACGTACCGACAAATTGCACGTACACATACTCTAGAGAAATGAGAGGGTTTGTGCTTCACCTGCTAGCTCTGAAACAGCAACAGCTACAGGCGATGCTCTGGCTTGTGCCAGCACTTAGTAGCAGTGCTCCAGCATATGAGGGGGATGGCTGCTTCATCAAACAATGTGCTCTGTAAGCTTTTACACTAGGCAAGGAGATCCCAAAATATAGGCCAGCCATATTTCTTATTTTCATCCATACAATGTTATTAAATCAATGGGATTTGCATGGATTAGCAAAGGACAAAATTAGCTTATTTTAGTAATGGTAAAATGACATTAAGATTATAACCCATTTCACATTCCCAAGACTAATTACTTCCCAACTCAAAGCATCAGAAGGCTATTTCTGCCCAACAGTCATGGCAAATGAAAATAAAATAGTTCTCCCCCCCCCTTTTTTTTCTTTTCTCTCTTTTAGAGATATTTTAAAGCTGAAAGGACTAATCATTTTCTTTAAAGAGCAAAAAAGGAACACAGGCTGCTGTGCTGCTTGGTTTGAAACATCAGACTTGGAAGCTGCTGCCAACCCACCGAACCCTGAGCTCTGACATCACAGCTGGCTGTGATGTAATTCCTTTTGGAAGATGGAGCCCTCATACACCAGTGAGGTTGCTGTTTGCCCCCGGCTGCTCCTGAGATTCTGACCCGTCAATAATAGCGCCTGTATGGGGACATTCAGATAAAATGTCACCGAGGTTTTGAAATGATAACCAGAAAATGCTACGTGGTATTAGTTCTGCTAAACATCACACAAGCTTGAATTTTAGTTTTTATTAGCCTCTGCAAGGCCGAATTTCCCACAACGATGTAAGTGGTGTCTCAAAATCATCTGAAAATGGTTTTGTTACCCTCACAGTAAAGCTTTACATCCCTCCCCCAACATGAGATAAGCATAAAATAGCTAATCTGACAGCATCTCACACGTTGATTTTAAAGGAACCCAAATATAAAACGGGCTGAAGGATACCTAGGATAATGCAGACATACACACTTTGCACATGTCAGGGACACAGACACTTTGGGAGCGTGTAAGAAATCAGCAGCCACCACAGGACCTGCAGCAGCTGCCCATCTGTACGCTGCTCTGGGTGCACAGCCACCACAATTCGACTCAGCCCACTTTAGCCTACAGCCAAAGCAGGTTACTCCATTTGTAGCTGCTGACAAACTAAGGGGTTCTTTGCTTTTAATGCTGTCAAGAAAGGCAACAAGTTATTAACACAGAGCCCATGCATACACTTGTTCAACAGTCACCCTTCCAACTACCCAGCTTCGAGCGCTGGTCTGGGGCTGTACCCGCAGCTGTGGCAAGGTGCAGGGAGGCTAAGCAGTCCCAATATGGGTACACACACCTTAGCAATCCCATGGTGGGCAACTCCAGCAGCATCCCGAGCTGAAACCCTGGCTGTCACACATCAAGACTGATGGCTTTCATAGCATTTTCCTCCTGAAGGCAGTTTATTCTGGCTGTTTTGTTTCAAGCTGCTCACATCCATTGCTCCCTGCACTCTCAGCAAATGCAGGGCTGATTTACAGCCTCTGTCCAGGAGACTTCATCTCAGCAGGGCTGCATGTGCACACTACAGTTTAAAGTACTTTGGGACTGCTCAGAGTGAAATGCATAAAATGCTAATGTATTACTAGACTCCTACAATATTTTTAAATAGCAGCTCCGGTATATGGAACTATTTTACAAGCAAGTCAGTGTTCTATGACACCAAAGATTTTTATTTTATCTGCTAAAGTTTAAGTATCACAGAAAAGTGGGTGTTGATAGGATCTGCCAGCAGCACAAACAAAAATGTACGAACCCAGACTAGGAATGAAATGATCTCTCCACAACAGGGAAATTAAGGCAAAACAACGGGGGGAGGGGGGGGATCCATAATATACAGTGGCTCAAAAGTATCAAACAAGCAAGTAGAACAAAGATTTCAGAGCACATTTGGACATGCCCTTCTTCCAAGGCAACATGTCAAAACCACTACTTCTCCTCCCCTTCTCCTTGACAGATGGTCTGGCTGGGCTTGAAGCCACACCACCAAGCTGTGATCCTGGCAAAACCCACAAGGTAAATAAGGTTGGGCACAAAGTGCAACTGGATGGGAGGCATGTGAGTGCTGAAGGATGAGATGCTGATGATTTAGCAAGCAACACAAACTGCTCTGAAACAATGCTCCGGCGCAGCGCCAGGAGAGCTCCGGAGGTAAATGCTACATAGTCAGGGCTGTATGCATCTCCAGTTAGGCCCTTATGTGTTTGAAAGGTTAAATGCTTCAAGTTTCCTGGGCAAATCCCAATTTTCTTCATTTTTCTTCAAGCTACCAAAAAGACCCCAGCAAACCTTCAATTAGTCAGTTAAGATTCAGTGAATTTTGTTTTCTTCTGTGCTGCTAGTGTGACATTAAGATGCCAGAAAGTGCTACAATTCTCATTTGCGAGACAGAATATGTTTCATGAGTGCCAAGCCACCTATATGTATGCTTTGTAAAAGCAGCTGATTCCCTCAGAGGTAAAAAACAGAGGAGCTGCCGAGTCACATTATTTGGCCATTTTCTTTTGTTTTAGCATTGTATAGCAGAACCATCTGTGTGAGACCCAATCGATAATCAAAGCCAAATGACAAATCTCCCTGTTTCTGCAGGTTTAAATGTCGAATTACCAATGCCATTTGAATTCTGTTTGGCTTTTAACTTCAGATCAAAGCTAACATAGCTGGGAAGACAATGCTTCCTACCCTCCACTTCCCCCCGCCCCCCCTTGTTGCTCTGAAATCATCTGTCTCCAAGCCAGAAGTCTAAATGGAGTGCAGGGAGAGTTCAAAACAGAGAAGGTTGATGGGAGTCTACTGCCAATTCTGCTCTGCAGTCACAGCTTGCTCCCACAGCTCCATTAGCTGCCTGCAATCAAGGGCGGCCGACTCAGTCCTGCTTGCTGTCCAGGTTTAATAGGTTCAGCTAGTTAATGAGCAATGGCTAGATTGCATTCCAAGACTTCACATCATTCACAAAGCAATTAAGTGTACACTTCTGGATCTCCTCCAGGAGCCCAAGAGGAGTGCCTTGTTCTATTGAGAGGATAAATGCAAGCCACAATTTTCAAAACTGAATAGTGTGACACAGTGGAAAACAGGCAGAATATTCACCTTCTCTAAGTATCAAGTTGAATGCATCATTTCTTTTCCACAAGCCTCTGAAGGGCTCCCTTACCTGTACACCCCTGGATTATAGGTTGCTCTTGCCAGATGAAACCAAGAACTGTAAGCCACTGGGAAGCATTTCAGTGAGCTGCTGACAAAGCAGGCTAGGGAGCAGTCATGTTAATGAAACAGGAGGTATTTAATTTGAAAGCTACTGCAAAGGCAGGGGTACTTTTTGCATGCATACTTTTTACATGTTCCCAGCAGAGGACTACAAGGACTACCTTGCAAACACTGAATTGCTGATCCCCAGATTCACAAAGCTCACAGAATGACTTGAGCCATTTGGCAGCCCTCACAAAACCAGGACCATGTTCCTGAAGGATGAGGCTACCTCCAAGGATACAGCTGGGGGAAAAGCAAGCATGTCTTTTTGACTGTCTCATGCCCATTCACCCCCTATGCTTTTGCACTGCTTTACCACCATTAACGTGTGTACTATTACTGTTCCAATGCCCCTTCCAAATGTTTGTAGCTTTTCTTGCTCTCACTCTTGCTCTCAGGGGGAGGTAACTGCTCTGGCGGCACAAAGGATCCTTAAATAGCTGATTCACAAGGTGGACCAAAGCTGGATCCTGAACATGCTCTGAAAAGACAACTCCTTACATGTGCAGGCTGCCTCTTCCAGGCTATGTAGCTGAATCCCAGGGAGAAAGGAGTCCTGCTGGCAAGGACTTCCCTGTCTTTTCTCTCCGTGAAGGAACTGAAAAGACATGCTGCTTCTCTCTTACACAGATGCTAAGATCACAGAGCTAGTGAGTAAGTGGGAGCCATGTCTAAATAACAAGGAAAGAGAGAAGCTGTTCATACATTCCTCTTTCCTCACCGTACGCTCTCATTGCACTCACATACGGGGTTTACAAAAGCCTGGATACTTAGTGGTTTACAACATCATTACCAAAAAGAACAACAAAAAACTCAAGATCCCTTCACAACCTATTTCTGTTAAACCGGGGATCAAATAAATCTATCTAGGACAAAGCGATATTTTAAATTCTTAAGAATTGGAGTACCCAATCACTAAACCCACATCAATGCAGTTTCTGAGTGAAGACACACAAAAGCATCTGCTATCTAAACTGGAGATGAGTTTAACAGTGTGAGGGGAAATATTCCCTCACTCGTTTACCAAAAACCTCATCACTAAACTGTAAAAAAATACTTGCACAATAACAGAGACTGGTCTTTTTACTCTAAATGCAAAACCTTGGTATGGAAAGGAAGCACAGCTGAAGGGTTATATAAGGGTGTTTCTTTTTTTCTATTATTCTTCATTTCCTTTGCGCATGCCAGTCAAAACTATAAAATACTTGAGGGAGAAATGCAGGAGGCATGGTTTCACATTCCAGATGATCTATTCCCATGTGCTGTGTACAAGCCAGGCGACCACCCAGGAAAGTTGGGCAAACACGATGCGGCCCACCAGTGCTGCAGTCACACACTAGCAGCCCTTCTCCATCAACACTTTGACCTGTATGTGCTATGAGAGGTAACCACCAAGCCTTACGAGTGGCTGAGCATGTGGCAGGATCAGCTTTACGCCCGCTCTGAAACAACACTAATGAGCAGCCCTGCATTTTCTCCTCTTGAGGAGCCAAACCAAGCTCAGACACAGTGCTGAAGCATTTTGAATTAACTATCCATAAAGGAAAAAACCCAAACCAACTAGATAACCTTAATATAGGAGCTTGTAATATTAATAGCTCTTTACTTTTCAAACTCTTTCACCCCCTGTCCCTTTGCCCTCCATCACATCTTTCACCCTGGTTTTCCTAAGCAAAGGAGAGCAAAGGTGGGTCACCTGTAGTCTTGGTAAAGGTATGACCAGCTATTTCCTCTCCTTAGAGCCCATGACTATGTTATTTTCTTTTCACACGTTGATCACAGAAAGCTTTGGTAACTGTTTCAGAGTCACTAAAAAGGAATCAGTCCCTCAGAAGCCAAGCTGGTTAAGAAACTCTGCTGGCTAGAGCAACAGAAGTAGGCATGACTTGCCTTTAACAAAATAGGAGGCATTTGTTTTTAGTTAACTGGGTAAAGGGCAGTAAAACTCGGCCAAGTATTTATTTATTGGACTGGAGTGACTGCAGCGAGAGAGGAGGGTGAGATGCGTGTAAGGTTTCTGTAATCCCAACCTTGGCAGGGAGGTAAG